TTTGATGTTCACCAAGGTCGTACACTCTGTGCTTTTCTAAATCAGAGATGGGCACAGAATTAGCTGAAAAGTACTTTACTAAATGCATCAGCAAGATGAGCTGCAACACCAGACATACTCCACCTGTAAAGATGGTCCTGCCTGGTGGCAAAAGTTACATCCTCCCATGGAGCCAAAGGAAGACTCCAGGCAGGTTCCATGTGCATTTTTTATCCAGGGACAGCATCAACAGCTCATTGCTTCACTGAGCCTGATCCTAAGGTGCCTGATTCTTTTGTTTGTTTGCTTGTTTGTTTTTACAGAAAATTCTATTAAGAAGTCTCTAATGATGTCTCATTTTAAACAGCATAGAGCTAACTGTTGTGAACTGGGAATAAAGATACAATAAACAAGTATGATAAAATGGGTACACTTAAACCTGTTTAATATGCTGTATAAAAATAGATTATAAAATAATACTGTGGAAATATAGTAATACATTTCTTGTCCTACTAGATTCTTGGACAGAAGTCACAAGCAATATGAAAAATAGCACATTAGTGCTTTATTTTACACCTAGGAAGTTTCTGACAGGATTTCACATTGGCTGCCACAACTCAAACAGAATAGGCATTCACAAAGGTGTCTAAAAAGCAGGAAATAGTAAGCAGTGTGGATGAAAAAAAATTTCTTAACTAGCTGGCTTTATGATAGTAAAAAGTGATTGAAATCTCAACCTTGCTGTATTTAACAGCCTGCATGTCACATTTCCCCAGACAGCTCCTCTGAAAGGTTGACCAATTTGTTTCAATACGGTGGCCACTCAACAGCACCAACAAAGACAGCATATACCCAAAGCACTGTATGGAAATTCTTCTTCTAGATGTACAATGTGAAGCCAAAGTACAAAAGCGGTTAATTTATCACAGAAACAGAGATTCCTAGAGTAACTAATTCAAACTGCTGATGATGCACTAAATCAGAGTGAGTGATGAACACACACGTAGCAGCAAGTGAAGTTCAAAAGGATACAGATCTATGTGATCAATGAGCTGGCACATGGCAAATGAAATGCAGTGTTGACAAACGTACAGTAATAGAGATGAGGCTCCAAAATAATCAAACCAAATTGAAAAAATTCAAGAAACCAGTGCAGAAATGTCTCATTACAGAGCTGGAGGTGCCTCTCTTCACACATCTAAGTACCAAGGCTTTCTATCTACGCTTAATTTGAAAAAAAAACAAAAACAAAAACAAAAACAAACAAAACCCACACAAAAAAACCACAAACAAACCCAAAACCAACAAAACAAACCTGCTGATAACTTGAAGAGATGCCTTGCCAGAAAGCAGTAAAACCGTTCAGGAAATGTAATACAGTGGCAGCAGTCATGTAAGCAACCATCCATTTCAAGCACACAGGTTAGCCTACAGATGAAAATTTCACACAAATCTAGTATTACATTGCATATTACTGCCCTGAGTGATGAGTGAATGATAAGGCCAACTTACAGCTTCTTTCTCTACCAAACTATGCAGTCCAGAAACACAGTCAGAGCAAGTGGTGCTGACCAAGCCTCTTCATACTCTAATCACTGTCCTGGCTGATAAATGGCTTTTTGACTGAAAAGTCACACCACTTTGTAAGAAGAGTACTGGCATTCAGTGACATGCAGTTCTTGAATTTCCCTGGAGCACAAGAAACTTTGCACATCATTCAAGATGTCAGGTCTTTTAAGAAGAAAGAAGTCACTTCCTGTGAGAAGGAACAGCTTTTTAGGCATTTTCTACAAAATTAATAGCTGTGACTTTCTCGTATGCAGCTGTTTCCAGCTGTGGCTATGACTGTCATTATTCAATTATTCATTACAGCCAATATAAATATGCTCTCTTTTGGTTTTGTCTATGGAGTGTCATGTGAAAACAGTGAGAAAGTTCTCTTTTTGTTAATGAATCGTTTGAAAATGTCACATGATACAAGACATCATATGTCTTTGAAGGGGTTCCAGAAAATCATACCTGCACTTGTTAGTCTCCCGGCTGCAGTTTTACTGTGGAACTTCCACGCTATAATCCAATGGTCTTTCACAATATATTTACCATGACAGGAACAAGCCAGTCGTTCCTTACAGATATGAATCTCTACAAAGCCATCTACACTGTAAAACTGAGCATCTCTACTACAACTTCACCTCCTTTGCAGGCTCTCAACAGAACAGTTTGCTTTACTGTTAGGGACCACATGCATTACATTTGCTTGAGCTCATATTCATCGTTAAAGAACACCCAATAAAGAGTTCCACTCTCCTTCATTAACATTTTTCTTCTTTTTAATACAATGATTGTTTTCTTTGACATAGAAGGCACTTTTCTCCCTCAAGGTGTCTTGATCCGCTCTTCAAAAAGTCCATCTGCTGGGTAATGTAATTACCTATAATTATATTAAGAAAAAAAGTGGCAACAAACAGAAAAAGGGAGCTATCCCATTTGCTTCTAGCTCTAAACGTCATTTTTTCCTTTCCTTAACCAAAGGTTAATATATAATTTATAGATTCTCTTATATAAAAGCTCTAATTCTGTAGCTCCTAATTGGATAATGAATCATACCTTGATTTCCATAAAACCCCAAACACTCAATGCAAACACAAATAAAGAGGTACATTTCAGTTTATCCTACTGTAATAAGACTAGAGGATTACTTTTTTTTTCATTTGTGAAACACTTAAGGACATACCTAATACCTGAATAATATTACTACTACTGTGCTACTACTGGAGGCTAATGAAAAAAAAAGTAAGATAAAGCAAAGGTCCTTCAGAACTCAGTTACTCAGCAAGCCACTGGAATAACCCAGGAGGAATGAAACACCAAGTGCACTTTTAGAGTCTCTTTTATTTGAATAGATTTATAAATAGTATTAAGATTTGATTTTGCAGCTATCCTTGAGAAAGGCCATTTAGCATTCCATTATAAAACTGAATTCAAGACAACAAAACGCTAAATCCTAAGTAATGGTATTGGGGCTAAACAGCTAAAAAGCCTAAACCAATGCATGAGAGAAAGGGTAAATTAGTCCTAATGTTCCCCTTGTCCTTAGCAAAGCTTTGCTAGATGCACAGAACATGGAGAACCAGATGACTGACAGACATTTCTAATCGTGTAATTTGTAGCTTATGAACAAGCTTATGAAATTTATGCTTTATTTTGTTCAACTTGGAGACATGCACATGGAAAATCTCTATCTGGATTTCAAACAGTTTTTATAAAAGAAGTTAGAATATCATCTTCATACTGAACTGGTGCCAAGACTTTTCACTAGTCAGATTTTCACAGTTAGACTTTCCATAGACTTTCATTAGCAAACAGAAGAGTTTCTATTTAGAGCAGAATGTGTGAAAAGCAGAAATAATAGGAAACCACTAAAATATAAAAACAAAGCTCCATTACAACTTTATGGTAATTATGATTATTTAATCCCTGCATAGCCCTATTCTTTGATCTGTTGTTTTTTTCTAAATTTGCTTCAGGACAAGTTGCATGCTGATATTTCTTAAGCAAACACAGACAAAAATAGAAAAACCAAGGTTTGAGATTTAGGTATTCAAACTTTCCCTTTCTAAAACCCAGAGTGAAATGGGGTTTTTTAGGGAAAAAAAGTGCTATTGAATTTCCATTTGAACGGATCCATGCAAACTGAAGTTTCTGGCTGGAGTATGGAGCTGCTGGTCTAAGGACATAAGTTTTATTGGATTAAATGAGATGAGGGCTTTAGCCTTGACATATAAAAGACTTTATGAAGGAAAATTTTGATTTCAAGACTTCTTACCTGGATAAGAAGATTATCTAACTGATCTGATTTGGTGTTACAACTAAGAAAATGATCCTGCTGGGTCCTGTGAATAAATTATGCTGTCAATCCTGAATGTCCCGTAAAATCTCCAAAAAGCTGTATTTCCCCAGCAGGCTTCCCTTCATTGCCTATTGCATAGAACACACTCCTCTGACATAACCAATATATTTCTTTAACTTTTGTTTTATATTTTATCTTCCAGTTTATTTTGGTTACAGGTAGAATCACTCTGCTAAAAAATGACCAGATCCTAGATCTAGTTTCTTTAAATTTCAAAATGCAAAGCTTACTAAGAACAGATAAGATTGATTGCTCTTTCCATCTTAGCATAATTGTATTTCAGGTGAACATCAATTTACTTTAAAGGACACTTCTAAGTAGCAGGCTGCATCATACATAATTCATCAATCACAGCTGCCTGTAACATGATTTACTCAAGCAGATTTCAAAGGAACAGAGGGAGTCGCATTGTTTTTTATGTTTTGGCTTGTTTGTTTTTAAATAGTTTAGGAAACACTCATTTACAATGAATTATTGCTGAGAAGAGTTAATCCTTGGTAATCAGCACATTGAATTCCTTTCTCCTAGAACAGAAATGTTATCTCTTTAAAATTCTTTTAAAAGGTAGACTGAGTTTTCAAAACATGATTAAGGCAGAGAGCTCTCCATGGCTATAAAAGGTAAAAATAAAGCTGAAGGATTTTGCTATGAGGGAAGGGAAGGCAAAATACTCATCTGAAAATCATTACTAGTTTCAGGGCTGTGTATTTTCTAGCTGGCTTGACATCATTTGTTATTTGTTATTCCAGCACACAGCTGTAAATAAAGAGAAATTGTTCTTTCCTCAGCTATCCCTTCACAAAGTTGTCACGCGGATACAATGGCTTTCACGAGACAATCTACATAAAACGGACACAAAACCATGTGCCAGTTAAAGTGCAATCACTTGATACACAAAGAAATATAGGTGAAACTGGGGGCAACATGTGCAATACTGCTCAGCATCTTCCATCAAATTCACCTTCAGGGACATGTTCATGGCTCAGATGTTCCTGAAGTAAAGAAATATTTCCACAAATAGATGCAAATACAGTTTTAAAAGTAAAAAGAGAGAGCGAGTGAAACTGCTAGAAATGCACACATACAAAAAGTCAGAAATGCTTTTACTTACTTGTAAGCCCATTTGAAACACAGAGTGGCCCATAAAGTTAGCCAACATTCGAATCAGAGCTGCTCCCTGGGGGAAATAATAGAGGAAAAAGAAGTTACTGGGTTTGCATGTCAATATTGCACAATAATAATCTGAAGTAGCCATTTCCACTGAACACTTTCATCTTATGATTAATAACTTATGATTAATATAATCTTTATTTATGCTGGAACAGAAGACAGAGAGAGAAGATAAGGCAAATGCTTAGAAGAAAGTACACTGATATTGTTAATATCCTGTTAATATCCTGCCCCATATACTGAGTAAGGCACAGGCCATAAAACACCCTCTCTGACTGCTAGAGCATGGATATGTCAGTTCCACAGCTGGTTGCCCCCAGCCCTCCTGTGCACTCAGCAGTAGTGCACAGTTTTAAACAAGGGCAAAAAATAATATCCATGCTAAATTCTACCAGTGATCACGCATAACATTTTTACCTTCATTATACTCCTGTAAATCAGGATTTAGTGAAACTACTACTTTCCTTTGTAAAAACCTTCCATATCTGATGATCTGGAAGTGGATCATTTTTGTAAGAAATTTATAAGCTGTGGATAGAGATATTTGAGTTATAAATAGCTTATTTCCCAGACTGTCATGCAAAGAGCTATGTATATGAATAACACTCTTT